TTGACGTAGGACTAACCTTAATCAAGGAAAGACAAATTGATTAAAGTAAGAGGAATCAAATGTTGGGCCAGAGTGAATATGTTAGAAGATTGGACGTCGGTCAGAGGATCGCTCGACGTATCGGTAGAAGGACTTCGTGCCATGAGTTCAGGCATCGGGCCGAAGGATTGGACATTGCGTCAAGGAGATCAGAAGTTGCAAGAGTCAATATGCCGAAGAAGAGGACAATGTGCCGAAGGATCAAACAAAGTACTAGATGAACCAATGACATGTTGGACAATATATGATTCATGCTTAATAGATTACGTCTAGATTGAGTTAGTTTATAGTCTAATTGAGTCAGTTTTGGGGTATAACGATGCCAATTCAATTAGGGGCCCATTAGGCCCGAGTTGTAGTTATTTTGAGCCAAGTGAAGCCCATGCAGCAACCCTTAGCAAGCCCAGGCGGTGGCACCGCTAGGACTGGCAATGACACCACTTTGGACTTGGCCTCCCAAGTGGTTTGGGTGGTAGTACCACCCAGACTGGGTGATGGTATCGTCGATAGTTAATGCTGTGAAGCGGTGGTACCACTAGAGCCCAATCTTCGAGGCTTTGTAAGGCGGTGGTACCACCAAGTGTCAGTATTACAAGTGGTGGTACCACCTAGTGCAGGTGGTGGTACCACCTAGCATAGGCTGTGGTATCGCCAGTACCCTGAAATCTCGAGGATTTGAATTTTGACTCCAATTTTTTAAGCCATTTAGTGTCTATAAATACCCCAATCTTTCTTGCTTAAGAAAGCACGAAAGTACAACCAAAACTCTATGATTCTAATATTGCAAACCCTATTAAAAAGTTGAGTTCCCTCCTCCATACGCTTAGAGAATGTTCTGAGGGAGAGTGTGAGAGAATACTTGTAATAGCGGGGTGTAAAGGTTCTCTCCTGAACTTATGAAAAGGAGAAAGAGTTATAAGGGTAGTTGTTCTTCACTTATTGAAAGAAGATCGGTAGTATAAGTCGGTGACCTCGAGTGAAGAGGAATCGGGAGTGGATGTAGGTCATGACGACCAAACCATTATAAAATTGGTGTGCCTCCCTTTCTATGCTTGTTTACTTATTTTACAATTGCTTTACCTGCTTATTACTACTCTTGCAAATGTTTTAAGTTTAAACATCTTTTTGATATGGCTTTCTTGAACGGAGATTTTCAAACCGACATGATTTTATGAAAGCACTAATTCGCCCCCCCCCCTCCCTCGTAGTGCTGATTTCAATCCTAACAATGATAACTGTTTTCGATATCTGATATGGCAAAATATAATTGAACTATCAACGAAAGATATGATGCTTCCATATGGTAGCTTGATTACTAGACAAATATATGCACAAGACATAGTCATTCTACCAGATAAAGAAACTATGAAATTAGATAGATTTAATATCATCAATATTAACCTATTAAGAAGATTAAGATGTATAGTAAGAAATAGTGTTTGGACTAGATTACCTAGGAGAACTGATCCTCTCCCACCTGAACTAGAACCAGAAACACCCATATATAGGGGAAGTCAATCTCCTCCTACTAGTCCCTTTGAGGCAGCACCTCCAACAGAGCCAGCACCCTCCTCATCTGTCGATTCCATAGTGACTCGATTGGATCAAATTGAACTACGTTAAGATTAAATCTTAACTGAGATGTAGCAAATTCATTGACAACTTTACACTTTTAAAATATAGTTTAATACTCTATTTAGGCATTTTGGTTTATCACCACCTGAATAGCTTGTATATTTCTCTTTTCTTTTTATTGATAAAAAAGGGAAAACTCAATAGTACCCTAATGTGTTGTACTCCTTGATATGTTGTACTTCTTATCCTTACACTCTATGATGTACTTTTTGATGTTATGTGCTTTTTAAATATTATGATATACTTCTTGATGATATTATGATGCATGCAATACTCTAAGAATTGTGTCTACTAAATCTTCTGAATTGAGTTTTTCTTTTTAAATCAAAATTGTTTCCTATCATTCATTCTTCTTGAAATGTATAAAAAATAGGGATTTGATTTATGAATTTTTAGTATATACATTTTGATCTTTTATGTGATGAACCATTTCTCTTTCTAATTACGAAAGTAGAAGTTTGATTCATGGACTTTCAGTTCTTATAACTTGATTTTCTTATGATGAATGAATTCCTCGCTTCTTCTTCTTCTTCTTCTTCTTCTTTTTATTTTTATGACAAAAGGAAGAAAGAAACTTGCTAGCATCTCATCAAAAGCAAAAATTATTAGCTTGCACATATCAAGAAGGACTAAAAAGTGCTTGCACATCTAAAGAGAAGTGCTAGCTTGCCTATTTCAAGAAGCAAAAGTGGTTATCTTGCAAAGTTTTGGCTTAACTTCTCATTTCACAAATTTGCTAGCTTGCATAAAATAGTATAAAACTTACTTGTATAGTTCAAATACTTGTTGAATGATTCTCCTTTTTATTGATGACAAATGGAGAAAAACGATTAATATTTGGAATCATACCAAAATGATGTTGAATTTGGTATCATGCAGGAAGTGATAAATGGTTAAAAAATGCTTTAGTATCATAAATATTATGCCTAAAATGATGTTAATTTTGATACCATGCATGAAGTGATGAATGCTTTAGTATCATGTAGGTTATACCTAAAGTGATGTTGATTTGTTATCATGCATGAAATGATGAAATTGTGCATGTTATACTTTAATGACTTGAAACTATGATGATGCACAATGTATAAAATTTTGATATATTGCATTTAATCACTATGATCGAAATTGCTTCATTTGAATTCAAAAGTTATGATTCCTTTTGAATTCAAGTTTGTCTTATCTCAATATGGCATATAGATAGGGGGAGTTAAGGTTAACTCCATCATCAATTGGTTGCTATCAGAAAAAAAAAAAAAAAGGAGAGATTATTGAATCTCAGATTTTGATAATGAAATCAATTGATTAATTAATAATCTAATCCATGTGTTGAGATAAGTGATACAGGACTAGCTACGATCGTGAAAAAGGTAAAACAAATAAAGAAGGATCGAATGTTAGGCCAGAGTAAATGATTGGATATCAGGCTGGATGAATCAAAGGATACACTAAAGGATCGGATGATACAATGAAAGTTCACTAGGAGTTCACTGAAAGTTCACCCAAAGTTCGCTGAAAGTTCATCGGAAATTCATCGGGAGTTCGCCAAAAACTCGCTAGAAGATTATCGTGAGTTCGTCGGAAGTTCACCGAGAGTTCAGTTGAATAATTAATGTGACAGGAAACTTATATTACTTGTTTCATAATTATTTTAGCCTTAACTATCATAGTTAGGACTTAGAGAAATCCTACTAACTCAATTATGAGCCAACTTGACCCAAAATAAGGTTGAATTAGGCTAGTTGGATGACCCATTCAACCACTTGGAGCCACGTTAAGCGGTGGTACCGCCTAGACTGGGTAGTAGAACCATTTGAGACTTGACCTCCTAGGTGGTCTAGGTAGTGGTACTATCGATAGTTAATGCTACCAGGTGATGATATTGCCTGGTGTCAGTCCGTAGGCAGTAGTAATACCCAATAATGATGGTGGTACCGTTAGTACCTTAGAAACATAGGATGGGACACTTTTTGACTTTATTTTTGAAGCTATTATGACCTATAAATACCTCACTATTTCCTATATGAAAGAGTTAAGTGTGAACAAAAGTCTTGAGATTTTGAAACATAAAAGTGTTGAAAAAAAAGTGCTAAGTGTCCTTCTCTTCTTTCTTTAGCTTTGTGATTATTTTAAGAGGGGTATGAGGCTTATAAAGGTTATCTCCTAAACGTATGAAAAGGAGAAAGAGTTGTAAGAGGGTAATTGGTCTTTGCCCATTAAAGGAAGACCATTAGTAGATGTCGATGGCCTCAATGGAGGAAGAATCAAAAGTGGACGTAAGTCACAATGACCGAATCATTATAAATATGATTTACACTTTCTTTCTACGTTTTATTACTATTACATTCTGATTTAATTACTTAGTTCACTTACTCTAAGTCAATCATACTTTCATTATCATTTTCGTCAAAAGAATATTTTTAAAAATTAATATTTTTATCGAAAGTATTAATTTATCCTTCTTTTAGTACCGATTTGATCATAATACTAAATGTTAGAAAAGTTACATATATTTAAAGCCCTGTGTCAAAGAATGTGAATAGCTTGTGTCCAAAATCCTAAAATCTCCCACCAATAGTTGAATCAAAACCCATAGGAAGCTTTTGCTTTTGCTTGGTTGCCTTCCTTATCCATTCTCACATTCAAACATGCCTCATCTTTGTCATCTTTTTGCAAGTGTGCACTCAACTTTTGTTTTTGTTCGCTTCACACATCCTTCATGTCCATCTCAAGTTCAATCAGCCTGTCCAAAATATATTTTTCAGATATGTTGATAAATTGGTTGACCAAAGTCTTGCTTCTATGACCTAATCGATTTTTGATAAACCCATATTCCCAAGAAAATGATAAATTGGTGATATTGTTGATTCAGACCTTAATCACTCAAATCATAGAGGACCAACCTTCATCTTTTTTTTCACAAGACCATATTCCTGTAATCAAGTTACTTTGATTTTTTATTTGTGAAATGTTTATTTGGATTTACTTAAAAATTGTACTTTATCATGAAACTTCTGTCTTTATATACACATAAAATTCATCCAAAGAGGTTTTATTTAATTTATTATTCATTAAAGATAAAAAATAAATAATTATAAAATTACGATCAAATGAGCCATTAATTCTTGATAAAAGGATAAAAGAATTATTTCCGCGTTATAATGCCGTAACAGTCCGTTTAATGTTACATAACGGTTTCGTTGGATGCCTTTTCATTTAACGGGTTCTTTACAACGTAGCGTTGATTGGGACGCTCAGTGCGCTGTGAGCGTGTCGTTTACGCGGCGAGCCAAACATCGAACATGTGGCGCCCATTCCTCCACGGCGAGGCACCGGTGCAATCCGTCCCCTCACCTTCTCCTTCCCGACTCCACCTTCAATGTAAATCGTTTGTCGTCGTCCACGCTTCCTCCTTTAATCCACCGCTCGCACGAACCAACTTTGCTGTATCTGCAGGTCGAGCTTCTGGTGGTGACCGGTGGGCAGCCATGAAGTCCCTCCGCCTCGTCCTTCCCCGTTCCCAAGTCTCTGTGCCACGTGGAATATACAGCAGGCCGACGGTCGGCCATGGAGTGCTCGGAATCCTCTCTGCGGGGCCGAGGCTTGCCTCCTTCGCACCCGTGAAAGCGAGCTCCGGCGCGGCCGAGACTACCTCGGTTTCGTATTCTACCATTGTTCCTGGTTCCGCGGCCAAACCGGGCCTCCGGAGGGATCCCGTGCTCGATTCATCAGGAGACGCTAACGACATGGAAGAGAAGATCGAAAAGGCGAGCGCTTTCTCCTTTTTGGCTCGACGTCGCTAAACGATTTTGGAATAGGAAGTGTTCATCAGTCGATAAGAATTTTTGTGTTGCAGGTGATATATAGGTGCCGGTTTTTCGCGTTTCTCGCGGTGGCTGGTTCTCTGATGGGTTCCGTAATCTGCTTTCTCAAGGTATGATCGCACTTGGTAGACTATTTCTTCGTCCTGTGGTAGTTCTTTAAATTGCATGAGAGGTGTTCGTTGTAAGGTCATCAATAACTCTGGTTAATTAGTGGCGAGAAAGATACAGGAGCAGGCATGGAGTAGAAGGTGTAAACTAGGCCATGCTATAATTAACCATACTCAATGCTACGTAGAAATGAAAACTAACGTGTGTGATTTTTAGCCCCAAGAAAGGTACCTCCAAATTATATAAATATTGATTTTTGATCCTCTTTTTGCAGCTGTGAATTGAATATTTTTCTGGCTTTAATTTGACTACTAATTTATATCATGTATTCTATTAATCAAATTTTTTTCTTTACTATGTTCAGGTGGCTTTAGTTGTGGGGTTTCTTATGTAATACTCGCTATGCAAATTATCATGGAGTTCTACAATGAATTGATGAACATTGCACATTTTATTTACCAATACAATGCCATGGCCAATTGGCAATCTTTAGTTTGTCAAAAAAATTGTAGGTGTTTTTTCTGTAGAGATCAGCTATGATAAGGCCAATAGATTAGTTTCTACATTTCGTTTGGGAAATGGAGACCATTTCTTTTGTTATATTTAAATAGTTCATGTGGGGGTAGTTCAGTTTGGATATATTTAATTGGAAATCATTTTTCTGTCTTTTCATTGTTCTAGCTGGTGTTGAACTTGTTATTAACTAAAAAAGGCAATCTAGATTCTAATTCCAGAGGTCCCTGGTGCTGCAATGTCTGAGAAGGTTCGAACCTATACAAGGTTAACCTTGCATGAAGAGATTTATGACTTGGACCTTTAGCATCCATGTTATTGCAGTCGAACTTTACCATGGCTCCAAGTCTTTGAAGTTTATATTTATTATACTAATATCAACTTTTCTTCACTGTGTTACTTTCTTTCTTAACCCATTCTTTATGATCACATTCACATGGTTATTCTAATTATGTTTGTACAGCTTTCAAGCAGTAGCGTATGTTATTATGTGCTTTGACCAAATGGTCAAAGCAATAAAACTAGAATTATGATATTTACCATTTAGCTCCCCTGAATCCCTGTCATCAACTTGTTTGGTTGTTGATCATCTTGATCTTTTACTGGTGTATCCGAACTATAATATTAATTAATAAAACATTTATGTTTTGCTGTTAATTTGAAACAAAGGTATGTTGGTCCATCAAGATTCCAATGGATGTACAATAAATGACCAAAATATGGGCAGTACATGGCTAACTAAAATTGGTTTTCAGTTGCATGGAGCTGTATTCACTTGCAAGATAATTTGCAGAAGTTATAACTTACCATTTTTATTCTCCACGAACAGTTTCTTACACACTTAAAACAGTCCGCTAAAGTTAACCAGACCAAGTGCTTGTGCAGGGTTGCACATATGTGATAGATTCATTCAGAGAATATTTTTTGAGTGGTGGGAAAGTAATTCTGATGTTGATCGAAGCCATTGGTAAGCCAATGTATATTTCAAATTTGTATACTTTGAAATAGACAGGAATTGCTTCACACACTACATAAAAGGATATTATCAAATTACCATTCTTTGTTTATTGATTATAAACATTATTGTGCAACTGGCTATAGACAACTTTGAATTCTTTTAAGATTTTTCCCTTCATTATTCTAAATTATGTGGTGGGTGTTAATTTTTGTTATTGTCTAATCATTAACAAGTTAACTTTCTGGTGTAAAGTGTGCATTAAAATGTGTCATTGTCCTTGACAAGTTAACCTCTGGGCTGCTTATGATCAATATCTCTCTTAGATTATCTCCTAGAACACATTATCTGAAATATGTTATTGGACATAGTGATGCTGATCAACTAGTGCTGAAATAAGCAGGCCTGAGTTTACATTATCTTCTCCTGTAACACCGACATCTTTAACACTTCATATCTTGTAGAGCAGACATCTCAGTTGTGCATATTCCAAACGAAGCATGGTATCTCTGTATCACAGTTCTTCTGGACAGTCACTCATAGCAGTTTGCTCATTCTTTCCTGGGTTCACTTTTTTCCTTTCATTTAATGTTACTTGAATTTTCCATTCTTCCTAAATATCAGTTTGTTGTCTAAACACACCCTGCTCTGTCACAGAACATGGATATCTTTGAGTTTTAAGTTGGAAAATCTAAAATGGCCTATTGTTATCTCCCCGAACACATTTTTTGAACATGTAATTGGACATAGCCTGCCAATCAACTGATGCTGAAAACATTCTTAAGATTTGCTTAGTCATTTCTTCATTCACATGCCAGAAACTAATACAGCTGTGGATTACTTGGTAGTTGAAGGCTCATCTGAGAAACTGATGTCATTGCAGATGGCACTAGTCTATCACTAACCTTCATGTTGTTCCACTTCAGATATCTATCTTATTGGAACTGTGATGCTCGTCTTTGGAATGGGTCTCTATGAACTCTTCATCAGTAATCTTGACATTGCAAAGATGTCATCCTATGGATCAAGCCTTCTTGGGTTATTCAAACTTCTGGTTTATCCCGTTACTCAGTCATAGTTTAGATTTTAGATTTCAGAACAAGTTGCTAAATATTATTACATTAGTTTCTGAACCATTCCGGCTTTAATATGTTTAGGAACGACCAAGGTGGTTAGACATACAGTCCGTCAATGAATTAAAGACCAAGCTGGGGCACGTCATAGTGATGGTACTATTGGTTGGGATGTTCGAGAAGAGCAAGAAGGTGACAATATCTTCTACAGCTGATTTGTTATACTTTGCGGCATCTATTCTGCTCTCCTCAAGTTGCCTTTATCTTCTATCAAAGCTTCACACCACCAAAGGAAGTATGCATGCCTGAGATGACAATTTGAGATGTATTCGATTGTCTTGATCTGTAAGACCAACATATCGTTCACAGTTATTCTATTGTTCATGAGACAACTCAGATGCGCTGTCTCATTAAGTGGAAGAAGAAATAAAGGAGTCAAATGTGCTAGGTACTGGGTTTTAAAGATTATAGACGAATTATTTTACAGAGATGTATTTTATCTGAAAACAGAATTTATGCTTTTCATGAATGAGTTAGAATCCTTCAAACAAATTGTAATTATTTTCTTCTGTGAACTATGACTAGATTTCTTTCTGTTTATGTTAACACTAACATCACCGTTAGGACAAGATGCTGAAATCCTGATCAACCTTCAGGCTTTGTTGGCAGTTATTGTCCCATCTAAACCAATTTGTGCATGGGAGCTGAACCAGCAAAACAAAAATAAAAAACAAAAAAGAAGAAGGAACAGTAGCCAATTGAGAAACTAATTGTATCTATCACTTGGCAAACTTGTTGATCAGCCATGGGTTATGAATGGATAATTACATTGCTTAACAGAGATCAAAATGACACTTGTAAGCACTTTGAACCTATCCAAATTTGACTAGTCCTTATGAGTTAGTTATGATAAACGGAAAACTTGGAATCATGGGCTTTGTAAAAGCTGCATGATGAAAATCATCAACTTAGCAACCACACACCCCGATAGCTAAAGAGTTATGATACATATGAAATGCAAATTGACCCTCTCCAACGAATTGAAACAAGATGGATCGTTCAAGATTGAAGTTAGGGAAACTATTCTAATCACTTTATCAATAAAAATTTGATGAAGTAATTAGAATAGCACTTTGATTCCCTTAAAATGCTATAAACTAAGAAGCTTGATAAGTTAATAAGTTTTAAAGTTTATGCAAGAACTTAAAAACAAAACACTCACCGGTGTTGAAAGTTGAATACACTTCTGAATTGTCCTCCTTACAAAGGGAGTCAACTTTATTTCTAAAGTACAAAGACCAAGTACAAAGGGAATAAATCTATTAAATACACTAAATAATATTCATATTCCTAATGCATGAATGTAGATTACTCATGAATCTGCCTTGAATTGATTTGAATGATTATTCATGAATAAGCCCATCATTCCTAATATGGTCTAATATGGCTGAATGACTTTTATTCTTCAAAATGAGTTAAAAATATATCTTTCTCTCAAGATTGGACTTTCTCTTCATGATGTGGATTTATTTGAATCAGGTTAACCATTTTAGGCTCTTCTTGTATCCATAGAACTTTAATCATGTTTTGACCAGCTTGCTCCTTCTAAATGCGAAGACTTCCACTAAACAAGTTAAGGCTTCTTTCATCCTTTTAGCTTTAGCTCTTGTCATTGGTTCTCCATGAATAGTTAAAGGATCCTTAGCATAATTATAATCAACTTGCTCATTCATATCATTCCCCTTTCCTCGAAAGGATTCGTCCTCGAATCAGCACCTTCATCACCTCCGTTTGTCCATCTGTTTGTGGATGACAAGTGGTTGAATACAACAGCCTTGTACCCAACTTGCTCCAAAGTATTTTCCAAAAGTGGCTAAGAAACTTCACATCTCTATCATTCACAATTGTATTTGGAATGCCATGTAATCTTACAACTTCTTTGAAGAACAGCCCCGCAACATGTGTTGCATCATCTGTTTTGTGGCAAGGAATGAAATGTGCCGTCTTGCTAAACCTGTCAACAACAACAAAAATAGAATCTCTCCCTCCTTTTGACCTTGGTAAACCTAAGACAAAGTCCATGGATATATCAACTCAAGGTTCACTAGTTATAGGAAGAGGTGTATACAATCCATGAGGCATTACTTTAGATTTAGCTTGTTTACAAGTAATGCATTTCTCACATAATCTCTCAACATCTCTTTTCATGTGCGGGCAAAAGAAATGATCACTTGACACATCTAAAGTTTTTCTAACCCCAAAATGCCTCATTAAACCTCCACTATGTGCCTCTCTCACAAGTGATTCTCTCGTTGAACATTGAGGAACACACAACTTATTTTCTTTGAAAATAAAACCATCATGCTTGAAAAACTTGTCAAAACCCCATTTCTCACATGCCCATAAACATTAGCAAAATCATAACCAGAATTGTATAAATTTTTAATGTACTCAAAACCCAATAATTTTGCATCAAGTTGAGAAATTAGAACATACCTTCTAGAAAGAGAATCGGCAACCACATTTTCCTTACCTTGTTTGTACTTGATGATGTATGGAAAGGATTCGATAAACTCTACCCATTTTGCATGCCTACGGTTTAACTTCCCTTGTCCTTTGAGATATTTCAAGGACTCATGATCGGTGTGTATAATAAATTTCTTGTACCAAAGATAGTGCTATCAAGTCTCTAACACTCTTACCAAAGCGTAAAACTCCTTATCATATGTCGGGTAGTTAAGACTTGCTCCACTTAGCTTCTCACTAAAGAACGTAATGAGTCTGCCTTCTTGCATTAAGACTCCTCCAATTCCTATTCCACTCGCATCACACTCAATCTCAAAAGTTTTAGCAAAGTTCGGTAAAGCAAGCAAAGGTGCTGAATTAAGTTTGTTTTTAAGCAAGTTAAAAGCATCATCTTGTTTTTCACCCCATCTAAATATCATATTCTTTTTTATGCATTCAGTTAATGGTGCAGCAATTGTAGAAAAATCCTTAATGAATCTTCTATAAAAGCTAGTAAGACCATGAAAACTTCTAACATCACTAACACTAGTAAGTTTTGGTCATTCCCTAATTACTTTCACTTTTTCTTTATCAACATGTATTCCTTTACCATTAACAACATATCCAAGAAAAATAATTTCATTAGTGCAAAAAGTGCATTTCTTTATATTAGCATATAACCTTTTTTTTTCTAAGCACATCAAAAATAACTTTTAAATGTGTTATATGCTCATTTAAACTTTGCTATATACAAGTATATCATCAAAATAAACAACTACAAACTTTCCAATGTAAGCACGTAAAATATGATTCATCAATCTCAACACATGGATTAGATCATTAATTCATCAATTGATTTTATCATCAAAATTCGAGATTCAACAATCTCCCCCTTTTTGATGATGACAACCAATTGATGACATGGAGTTAACCTTAACTATCCCTATCTATATACCATATTGAGATATGACAAACTTGAATTCAAAGGAATCATAACCTTCGAATTCAAGTGAAACAATTTTGATTATAATGATCAAAATCAAAATTTCATACAATGTGCGTCATCATAGTTTCAAGTCATCAAAGCATAGCATGTACAATCACTTAATGTATGATAATAAATCAACATCACTTTAGGCATGACCTATATGATACTGAAGCATTCATCACTTCATGCATGATAGTAAAATTAACATCATTTTGACATGATATTCATGGTACTGAAGCATTCAAATTTTCAATCATTTTGGGAAAAATATATATGGTACTAAAGCACTATTTATCATATATGATACTAAATTTAACATAACATACATGATACTAAAGTATTTTTTAACCATTTATCACTTCATGCAGGATACCATATTCAATATCATTTTGGCATGATTCCAAACATTCATCATTTCTCCCCCTTTGTCATCAATAAAAAGAAGAATCATTCAACAATTTATGCAAGTATTTTAAACTATTCAAGTAAGTTTTACATCAATTTATCCAAGCTAGAAAAGTTGTGGAATGAGAAGTTAAGCAAAAACTTTGCATGATAACTACTTTTGCTTCTTGAAATGAGCAAGCTAGTATTTTTCTTTTAGATGTGCAAGCACTTTTTGGTATTTATTGAGATGTGCAAGTTTCTTTCTTCCTTTTTATCATAAAAATAAGAATAAGGGAGAAATTCATTCATCCCAAGAAAAATCAAGAACCAAATCTGTGAAAGGATTTGAACCAAATCAAATCCATGAAAAAACATGTTTCATTGAATCAAGTTTCTACTTTTGCAAAGAGAAATGATTCATCATAAAAGATCAAAATATGCATACTAAAAATTCATGAATTAAATATCTTTTCTTGTAAATAGAAGGAAGAAGGATTCATAGAAAATGATTATCGCATAAAAGATCAAGTATAGCAAAAATCGATAAAACTTCAAGAAGGTGATAGGAAATGATCTCAATAAAGAGAAAACTCAATTTTCAAAAGTCAAGAAATCCAAAAAATATATAAAGGAATTTATGCATCCGGAAGATTTAACGTGCCTAATTCTCTTCTAATACAATCAAATTGTTCCTCATTTAATGGTTCTATAAAAATATCTACTAATTGATGTTTAGTATCAATAAATTCTAAAGATATATTATGATTATTAATATGATCTTTAATAAAATGATGCCTAATGTCAATATGTTTAGTTCTAGAGTTTTGAATGAGATTTTTTGTTAAACATATTGCACTAGTGTTATCATATTTTATAGGTATATTTTTCAAGTGAATTCTATAATCTTTTAATGTATTTTTCATCTATATAACTTGTGCACAACATGCACCTATTGCTATATACTCAACTTTGATTATAGATAATGCAACCGAGTTTTGTTTCTTGAAAGACCAAAAGACAAGTAAATGACCTAAGAGTTGATTTGTTCCGGATGTGCTTTTTCTATCTATTTGACAACTAACAAAATCAACATTGACATAAGCAAGTAACTCAAAGTTTTTAGATTTTGGATACTATAATCCTAGATTAGGAGTTCCTTTTAGATATCTAAAAATCCTTTTAATAGCTTTTAAGTGAGATTGCTTAGGATTAGATTAAAATATTACACATAGTCTAATACTAAACATAATATCAAGTCTAGTTGTTGGGAGCTATAATAAACTGTCTATCATGCCCCTGTAAATCTTTTTATCAAAACATTGTCCATTAATATCCATATCTAATTTTGTAGAAGTGCTCATTGGTATATTAATAGCTTTAGCACTATCCATATTAAATTGTTTCAATAGATCTAAAGCATACTTAGTTTGACTGATAAAAATTTCATCACTTAATTTTTTAATTTGTAATCCTAAGAAAAAAAGTTAATTCGTCCATTAAGCTCATTTCAAACTCTTGACTCATACTTTTGACAAACAATTCACACAAAGACTCATTTGAAGTACCGAAAATAATATCATCAATATATATATCTTGACAATGAGAAAATTATTTTTAAAATATTAAATAAACAATGTAGTATTGACCTTGCATTTCATAAAATTATTTTGAA